TGTGTCCGTTTCTGAATTGGCTCTTCTGTTCTACTCTGTCTGCTATTGCGGCTTCACGACACATTTTTATAATATCTTTTATATCCCACAAGATCCATCCTCTTTCCTTGTCTGTTTGAGAATTTTCTTGGCTATTTAAATTGTAAGAATGTTAAACCATTCACCCTCTAATCACAGGAAATGTTCCAATTGGAAGAACATGGTAGATCTTTGTTTCGGTGTCGAATTTTTAATACTAACTGCCGCTCATGTTCTTTCCCACAAAGAGGTATTAGGAGAGCACCCCAAATTTACAACAAGCACAAAAATCATCTCTAATGCCAGATTATGCCAGCAGAATTTGTTCAGCTTCGCTTGTAATTATCGCAGTGAAACCGGAGCAGACGAGTAGCAGAGAAGCTGAAGAAAATTCTGCTGTGTGGTCAGCTCTCCCGCCTCTCCAGGTTGGCAGGGAGGACATGCTTAGGCTGTGAGTTTAAAAATCAAGGCATCACAAAGCCACCAGTTTAGTAATCCATGGCACATTTAACACTATATTGAAGGAGACTCTTTATTCCAAAACATCTGGAAAAAATGAATTACCATGCTCACACTCACCCTCTCCTGCTTTGTTCCCCGCCAGAGCTCGTCCCTCCACCTGGACCTAAGTAAGGTCCGTCCCCTCATCAGAACGTCAAGCTCCAGGCCAGGAATCTTGCCGTTCTGGCTGTCACACAGATGCCAATAAACTGAGTGTCAGCATCAACAGACCAGGAAACTTGACCTTGGGCCCTGCTGGCAGTGCCACAGCTGTCTCTCAAGTGTCGCGCTGAACACAACACTGCCACCGCCCACGATGTTGTCTGAGGGGTTCCCTCCAAGACAGCTGACTTCCCCTGAGCCATGTGCCCACCCCTACTTCAGGCCTCGTGGGCCTTTCATTCTTTCCTGATAGCCTGGGTGTAGACGGAGTCACCACTATCGTGGGAAGTACTTAAACATCTTGGCCAAGTGTGGCTTTTCCCACGGTGCAGGGGAGGGAGGGAAGGGCCCCATAAATAAACCTTGACTCAGTGTCCAGTTCCCCGTGAGCTCCCCCGTCTCAAATCCCAGCTTCCTTTTTGGTTTCTTTTGCATCTTCCCTCCCCGACAACCTCCATTCACCTTTCGCAAAACCCCAACCTTGACCCCTAAGGATACTTCCCTTTCCCCAAGTCTCAACTATTCCATCTACAGCTCTTCCATCTATGTCCGCACTGAAATCCTCAGGAGAAACTGTTGAAGATGCAGATCCCCAGGTTCAACCCCTAGAGACCCTGCCTTAGCAGGCAGGGCCACAGAATGGCATTTTAAACAAAGATTCCAAGTAACTGATATAGTGACCAGCCTGGTTCAGGAGTCCCTTGGGGGGGGTGGGGAATGGATGGTTGGGGGGAAACCTTGGGCAGAAGAAAACTAAATTTTTAGCTAAAAGGCCTCAGCTTCTGAAGAAATGGGAGGGGAGGGAAGGGTTTTCACCCTCCAGCTGCTTTTAAAAATAAGGCAGCACATTTAAAGGGATTCTAAGCTTGTATCAATTAAAAAAATAAAATAAAATAAACCAGCACTTTCAGGTAATTTACACCACCAGTTACCTAGAACCTTCTAGAAACCCTAAGATCTGTGGGAGATCCTTTCACAGTGGTGGAAGGCCACAGTGAAAAGGAGAAATGGCTTCTTGTCTCATGGAAAATTAACAATCCTTGAAGCTCAAACCCAGGTCTGACGACCACTCGTGTACGCCTGGAGGTCCGGGAGTATGTGTTGTTTCACAGGGAACCCTTTTCTCGAAATAAATAGTCCATGCAATCTCCATTTATAAAAGAGACTGACCAGGACAATTAATTTGCTAAACTTTATTTTATGTGTTGTACACTTACATGGTGTCATGGTGTCAACCTGCTAACACAATGAAGCCCCGGAGGACGGGATTTACAAATCAGGAGCTGGGCGGTCGCCGCAGGCTTCCAGAAGCTTGGGAGTCCAATGCACTTCCGGGTCCCGTCTGGCACACACCCAAGGAAAACCTTGATGCACACAGGTGAGTAGCTGCGAATGGAAACTGTTCTTTTTCTGTAGCTTCAATTAGATTCATCCAGGTTTTTGAAAGAAATTGTCACAAGAAATTGGTTTTAAAGTTGAATCACTAACAGTATCTAGCAACTGTGTTCACATTTTTAGCACAAAGATTGAAGTCAGAAAAGATACCCTGAAAACTTACAAGGGCTAAAACTCTAAGACAGAATATATGATTATTTTGTGCCGTATTAATACATTTACTTGTTATCACATGACTGAAGAATCACAGCAGAGTGGGGGCATGTGAATTACAAAAGGAAACTTTCCTTCGGGAGTGTCGGATTATAGGACATGCACAGGGCTGGATTTCTTTCACTTCTAACCTTGCTTATTGGAGTCACGTTTACAAGAAATTCAAAACACAGAAACAACTAACTCGAGACCTGTACAAAAACAAGTTAATCTATGAATGCAAGGTAATGTTCCGATGGTCTTCAATGCCACTGATTTGGTTTACAACACATCTGAGTCGTCATTTTTCAGTTTTTTTAAAGCACATGAAAAAAACAGACTTGGATTAGATCTTTGTGGATGCCTTGGGGACTCCCCAGGATACACTCTGGAAACCACTGATCTTGGGGATCCTGCCCTCTCCCCTACATATGCACACAATGACACATGGTAGTCTGGTCTAATTTAGCATCTAAATGCAGAGGGCAGAAATTAAAATTAGCTAATTTTTAAAAGATTTCTTCCCCTCTTACTATAATGTGAGAAGACGTCTTCAGCTTCAAAGGTGGCGACAGTCTGGTGGGTGGACGTATGGGACAGAATCTGAGCTGCAGAGTGGGACACGTAGGAACGCCCCAGTCCTTCCCTGCCAGTCATCTCTCGTCCCCAGAAGCTTCCTGAGAGGCTCACCCCAAATGAGAATCAAAGTGCCATTTTCATTAACAAACTCTAAAACGTAAATACTTCAAGGCCTAAGCAGACATTCTTTTCCCCTAAAACCAACTCTTGGGACCTTACCACCTTCTGGCTAGATGACTAGATGGCAGCTGGCTAAGGGAGCAAGCCAGCCAGGTATGCGTCAAAGGTCCTGGCCTAACTTACCGGCTGGTTGCAGGAGAGAGGCTGGAAGGGACAAAATGGCTGCCCAGCTGTTCAAAATCCCCAGTCCTGCAGAGGTCGTTGACCACGCAGGAGCCCAAGGAGGAAGCAGGGAGTTGGGGAGAAAGGCTGAACATGGATAAGTGTAACAGGGACCCTTCCCATGCATAAAGGGGAATGAATGTTCTAGAATTTTCCAAATCCACTTAACAACTCTCCTGCCTCTGACGGTGAGTGGAGGAGGAGGTGAAAAAGCATGCTTGGTAGAGAGAAGGGCACAGAGCTATACCTCCCTCCCATACCCCTCCACCCAAGATCTCACCAACCATTTACCTCTGAGAGTCAGGTATCTACAAACTGGGTCCCTAAAAGAGTCAAAAGTCTTGTTTCTTCCAGTGACAAGAGAAAATTTGGTTCCTGCCTTGGAACTTCTTCCTTGGTCTTCTTTCAACTCCTCAGGTACCGGTGGCGCCCCACATCAAAGCTTTCTAGAGTCTGTGGATAAATCAGAACAGCTCAAGAGGAGAAGCAGAGAGAGGTGTCAGTAGGAAATGTTTTACTTCCTAAGACCTTCTGAGTCCTTGAACATTTCCATCCCTGTGGACCAGGCCTCCAGAAAACTTCATCCTTAAAGCCACAAACAACGCAACCCCAAACCATTAAATTCATATGGAGGCCGGGCGTGGTGGCTCACGCCTGTAATCCTAGCACTCTGGGAGGCCGAGGCGGGTGGATCGCTCAAGGTCAGGAGTTCGAGACCAGCCTGAGCAAGACCAAGACCCCGTCTCTACTAAAAAATAGAAAGAAATGATCCGGACAACTAAAAATATATATATATAGAAAAAAATTAGCCAGGCATGGTGGCACATGCCTGTAGTCCCAGCTACTCAGGAGGCTGAGGCAGAAGGATTGCTTGAGCCCAGGAGTTTGAGGTTGCTGTGAGCTAGGCTGACGCCACGGCATTCACTCTAGCCCAGGCAACAAAGCGAGACTCTGTCTCAAAAAAAAAAAAAAAAAAAAAATTCGTATGGAGGGAGATGGTCAGATGGAGTGACAGAATGACTACAGTGACACTAATCAATAAAAGACTGGTGGGTGGGTTTGCTTTGCTTTGCTCCTGCCTGCTAGGTCCCCAGTGTTGACCCTCAGGGGTTCCTAGGAAGGTAGTCTGGGCTGTCACCCTCTAAAACCTCAACTGGAGTGTCACACACCTCCTCCAATGCACCGGGGTCCTGCTCGTCACCCTCCTGACCCACCACCCCGTGGGGCTCCTCTGCCCCCACCTGCCACTCCTGCTCCCCCCACCCCAAACACTTGTTGACACAATCTCAAACACTTCTGCTGTCATTCTCACCATTGGTGTCATCACGAGAGCCTTCTGGCTTGGCCTTCGGACCCCTGGATGTTGAGGCTGGTGACTCAGTGGGCCGCGGGCCACGAGGGGCCTTCTGAGCTGACGCATCCCTTCTCGAGCCCGGCACCTTCTTCGGAATCGCCGGCTGCTTCTTGCCATCTTCGGAGTCAACGAGGACGTAAGAGACAGGGCCCAAGCTCACCTTCTTCTTCTTCCTCATGGGAGCAGGGTTCTTCGCCGAGGCCCAGCCCACGGCCTTCTTCTTCGGGGGGCTCTCCTGGCCGCCATCTTGGTCTGACTCAGAGGCGGCGCCAAGGCCCTCAGCCTCTGCAGGGGCCTCGGGAGGGGGCGCTCTGGGAGCCTTCCAGGCACATTTTGCCATGGGCTTCTTCAAGGCCACCTCCTCCTGCTTCACGCAGGGCTTTTTGTTGCTCTTGAGAGATTCTGAGATCTCCATGCCTTCGGCGCCAGGATCCTCCGAGCAGGCTGAGCTGCTGGAGTGGCTGCCTTTGGGCTTTCTCCAAGGTACTGGTTCCTGCTTGGGGTTTTTCCTCTGCTTCTTTCTCCTGGAGCGAATCTTAGCGCCAGCCCTGCGAACCAAAGGCTTGGGAGGGTCACCCTGGTTTTCTACCTCATTCCAGTTGTCGGGGTTCTCCACCTTCAAGGCAGAGCCCACCTCTGCAGCCAGCCCTGGCTCCTTCTTGACGCTCCTCCCTGCTGCTAAAGCCCAGGCTGCCATCTCCTCGAACTCGGCAGCCTCCTGAGCCCTGGCTTCCTCCCGACTGCGGATCTCAGCATCCGTGTAGAAGATCATCTGCACCACCGCGCCCAGGAGCACCCCCAAAGATTCTGCCCAGTTCTCTGAGGTTTGATTCTGGTTCTGGGACCTCGAGGGGTGGTTGAGCTGGAGCAGGCGGACCACATCCTCCCAGGTGCGCCCCTCGGCATCCAGGAATTCATTCAAGTTTTTTAAAAACTCGGCATCCTGGGTGGGGTCTCTACAGACCACTCTCCAGACACCGCCCCTTCCTGGGAATTCCCGGGGTATGGCGCTCAGATTCACACCCTCGCCAACCTCGATGAGGGCAGCCTTGGAATTCTCCTCCCTCACAAAAATCTTGTTGAGCACGCGGTATGAGCCCAGGGGAGAGAGCACCCCATTCAAGGTCTCCTCAATTTCTGCATGTCCACAGTCCTCTGGGATGCCTATGACCAACAGGGACCTGTGGATGTCCACTTCCATCCCCCGGCACCAATCTTCCAGAAGGTTCATGGCCATGGTCTCGGACACTTTGCGGCTCTAATCTCACGTGTACTAAAGAGTCTACAAGGAGGACGTGGGCTGCCCGAATATTAACCCTGCAAAGTCACAAGAGAATGAGGTCAGATTTCCGTGAAATCGGCCACGCTCAGAGATCCCAGCAGCCCCCTCCGTGGCTGGCCTGCAGGAGGAGGCCTCGCGATTTCCCAAGACCCTCCTCCCCCAGCCGGGCCCCGGGTGCTCACACGTGTCCGGGAATCCGCGGCAAACTGGCCTCGGCCCCTCCCCGGGCCTGGCGCTCGGCCTGCCCGGCTGGGATGTACCCGGCAGCCCCGCCTCCGACCGCCCAGCCAGGCCAAGGAGAGGCCGCTGGGATGCAGCCGCTCCTCAGGCGCTGGCTCCGGCCACCCGACGCCGCTGCTCCGGGCAGAAGGAGCCGAGAAGCCGCCGTCCACCCCCGCACCGGCCCCAGCGGGTCACGCGGCGTCCCGCCTCGATCCTGGCAGCCGTGCGGAGCCGAGCCTGGCGACGCAGCGCGCGCCTGCGCACTTGCTCCCGCGCCGCGGCTCCGCGTCTTCGGGCCGCGCAGGTCCCGAGGTCTCCATGGCAACCGACCGCTGGTTGCTAAGACTGACCGTGGCGGGCGAGCTGGCTCTGCGGTTGGGCTTGGGTGCCGGTGGGAGGGCGGCAGTTCACGTGATCAGCGAGCCAGGGGGCTGCGTATTCTCCGATCGCCCCTCCAGGCCCCCTCCTTCCACGCTTGACTCCGTGTGGGCCTCCGAACGGGGCAGCAGGAAAGAGCGGCTTTGATGCCCCTGGGCACCCCTTACAAAAGCCACAGCTCCTGTTGGCAGCTTT